TAGAACTAATTCAACACCGAAGGTGTCAGACAATCGAACGTTTCCAAAACAATTTTTTTTATTCACCTGAGACGCTGATAAGCTCTTAATTATAGCATGGCACTGATGCGAACAAAGAAAAAAAAAATCCCTATCTGAACATTTCAACCTTATATTCATTATAAGTTGAAGGACACAAGCAAATGAAACATTACCCATCTGTTCTCTGTCCACTTGCACTTCTCCCTCTGCCTCTATCCTTCACTCCCCTGGTGGAGCCGAGGCAACCTGTGCATTACAAGTAGCGGCTGATGATTACATTGTTGGACTGAGAGCGATGCTCATGGTTCTGTAATCCCAGCAGTAATCAATATCTCTGGCCGCTTCCCTGTCCCATCCCTCCTACTGCATGTAAAATATCCCTGAGCAACACTTAGACCCCGCTTTAATTATTCTCTCAAAGTCGTCAGTGGCCTCGACCAATACTGGTCTGGAGCATGGCACACATGAATCACCGCTTTTTGTTTAGGGTTGCTTAACGGCACCAGGGAGTGATGTGATGAATTAGAACTGCTGTAAGTTGGTGCTGGAAACAATCAGAGGAAAATTATTGTGCACGGGAGAGCAAGGCAAAGTTTTAAGAGGTTTTCACACAAAACAGATTTATTAGAAATATTTATTGGAAGCTTCAAAACTTCTGTCCTCGTCTTCTGGACCTTGTTTTTGTAACAGACACGTCAGTGAAGTATTTTTCTTTATATTAAGAGAAATTATTCTCTGCATTTAACTCGGTCTTTGGTCCTGCTGAGGCCCGGACTTGAACCTGAATCCTTCAATTACAAGCCCGAACCTTTTGACCAGTTTGCCACAGACTGTTACAGAAAAAAAAAAGAAACACTACTTGTGATGTTCAGGATTCTTTTTCCAATCAAAATGGAAATATTTTAACAGTAAAATCCTTCGACTTGAACGGTGAAAAATAATGAAAAAACGACATGGTCTAATGTCACATGTTGAAGATGACAAGTGTGTCCAAGCTGGACCTATGACTTCACAGCGAAACTGGACTTATCGGCTGTCTACCTCGACCCCTTGAGGGTGGGGAGTAAAGGGCATTGTCGTGACCTTGCCCGTATGTTGAGCATTTGTGTGTTCACATTGTCTGCTGCCAATATCAGTCTAAAAAAAACATTTGTGAAGCATAGGGGGAGACGGGGGAGACAGGAAGTGTGAGTCACCTCTGTGCTTTTTTTTCTAAAGGGTGAAACAAGTCAATGAGAGAATTACAGTTTGAAGAGAGACAACACAGCATTAATTAATGAAATAATAGTGTTCTGAGAAAGAAGAAATTACAGCTTCTCTGAAACATCGACAGGTGAATTAGAGAGTGAAGCAGCTCCACGTCATTTTTTGCTCTAAGATCAGCAAATAAATGTTCTTTCGTCGTCTTCTCCCTGTGTTCACCTCTTTATACTTATACATTTCTCTATTGTTTCCTTTTTGTGAGAACAATTAATTATCAGTGTCGGTGATTTAACACGTACATTTTTGCAAGGCAGTATTTAAAGGAACCTTCAGACCATTTTTGGCTTCATTGTTTTCATCCTCACTTCTGCAATGTATGCACTTTATCAGGTTAGTTACCGGGGAAAGAAAAGAACAAATAAAATAAACTGGTAAAAAAAACATTTAGTTCTTGGGATCTCTGCTCTCAGAGGTCTGGCTAAACAGCATTTAGTTCTTAGGATCTCTGCTCTCAGAGGTCTGGCTAAACAAAATTTTCTTTTTTCTTGCAGCATTTATTTATCTTGATGCAGCTATTGATCACGCTCACGAGGAAATTATGTCTCCAGGCTTGGATGCTTGTAGGTGGGCAAGGACATTAATCAGGAAATCAATTGTGCTGTCGATTTGCCTGGTTGTGTTTGGGGAAGGACTGAGATGTGAAGACTCCGTCAGGTCAGAGTGAGAAGCTACTTATTCTGCAATTTCACAGCAATATCACGGCGCCTGTGTTGAAAACAAACGATCACTGCAGTGTTGTGTTGCCTTCTATCATTCTCCTACTACACCCACAGCCCTGGACTATTATATGAGTCTGACTGAGACCACGTCAACCATTTTGGATTAAACAGAGTCGGTTGGTGCTGACACATCTGTGGTGGAGAGCTGCTAATTGGAAAAGTAAACTCAAAACTCAAAACAGTCGCTCTGTAAAATTGTTCCACATCTTCCTCTCAGATGGATAATGTGATGCACTCAGACATGTTTTTTTTTACAGTCGTTTTTTTTTTCTGCAATTATCTTCTGAAATAGCCTTGTGAAGGTGGGATTTGTTGAATGGGAAAATGCAGAAACAAGTCTGATTGCACCAAATCATTATCTCCAGAAAATTCCCCGCAGTGAGTGACTGGAAAATTGTCAAAAAGTCTCTTGGTGTTGATGCAAATGAACCTCTGTGAACTCCACTTTATGTATGTAGGTGTGTGTGGCTGTCAATCAGCGCCGGGGTTTCTCACTACTTTTCAGTTCTGGAAACTTGTGCAGGGTGGTGGTCGCTTAATGTTTCTGTTTTTGTTTTCACTTTAAGATAAATCCAATTGTTGTCTTGCGTCACAGCAGCCAAGTGAGAAACAATTAGCCTGACAGTGTAATCTGCAAACACATACAGTATTGAACATATATTTCACATTAATGGATGTATTGTGAGGCCAATGTCTCAGCATCGATAACCACGAGGTATATGAATATAAACTATTGAACAGTACATTTATCGTGTACTACAGCAGTTTGATTCACGAGTTTCTTAAGAGGTTTATACATAATGCAGGTGACAAAAGGGTTGTAGGGAGGTTTGTATCGACAGAGAAGAGGAAGAGGAGGAAGAAGAAATAAAGTACTTGATCAAACCTGTATCTCTAACCTGTTTTCACCTAAAGTTCTTTTTCTAAATCATTATAATATTGCAATAAATATAGCAATGTAAAACTATTAATAATATTTTCTTGATTTCTAATTCTAAAAGTTCTCTAAAACTTTTTATTATGTTTTTTAAACTGTTAAATAAAGGATCTTTTCGCTTAAATGTAATTCCTGAAAGTTCAGTTTAATTATAACTTTTAATTTATAACTAGTTCTTTTATTTAATCCTGTTCTGGCTTTTTGTCAGACTTCACACAAAAAAAATTAAAATGAAATATTCACACACACAGTGAAGTCCATTCATGTTTCAGTAAAGTTAAGTTTTAAGTTGTAGGACACTTCAGTGGTTCCTTGGTCCTCGTCCACTCCTCTCCTAGCTCCTAACTCACAACAAATGTATCCTGTGATGTTAAAGAAATGACTTTTCTGATTGATCTCCATCGTATCGTTGTCATTCCTCACTGTCACCTAACCTGACCGTCTTCTACTGTTGATCCTGAATGATCAACAGACTTGGCTATGTCAAGCTTGGATTTTATTTTATTTTTTTAATTTATTTTGCTGTGGTTAAAAATGCCCAATGTTCCAGAGGTAAAACCTCCTTCATCTCATTGATTTGACACCTTAGTGACTGGTGTAACAAACATGGCTGAGGTGTTGGAGTTTATTTTCCCTAGAGAAACGCCAGCAGTCAGAAGAAGAAAAAAAAAAATCTCAGGAGGATTACAGGCCAACTTTGCCAAACAACCCAGGACACGGAAATGACTTCCACTAATCCCACTCTCTGATGTGCGCCACACAAAATACCCCTTTCATCAACAGTAATTGAACGTAGAGCAGACCACAACTGGGCCTCGGCCTCCTGGTCCAGTCTGAGATTCTGGAATGTTCTGTCACTGACACTGTGTTTGACTGAAACCATTGTGTAGCCTATAATATTAATCTGGACACATTCACCTGCTGACCACTGACACACACACACATTCACTGTTGGGTTTCTGAGGACCTCCTGTCACATGGGGAAAAATAAAATAAAGAATTAGTTCAGTTACTTTTCACATCTTGTATTTAATTTCAGGCTCAAGAAGATGGAAAAATTATTTTCTGTGGCCCGGCTTGAAAAAAAGACGGCTGCTCTGAACACTTCCATTAATTTTTTTTTTTTATGAATAAACATAATTATTCAAAGTATTTTGGATCTGGAAAACTTAGTTTGTTGTGGTTTGAATTAATTTTTAATTTAAAAAAAATAATTAAACTTTAATCAGGATTTCGGTGACAACTCTAATGTTGTCCTGAAATATTAAAATTAGACTGTGTTACAGCGACCATCATCATTATTAATCACACAGTATTTCTGATAGATGGTGTCTTTGAGTCGTTTATATTTAATTTTAAAGAAATGGTTGTAATTAGAAGCACCAACTGAGTGTAACCATTGACAACAGGGTTAGGGTTAAACCAGGTCAAATCAGCAGCACCTGGACAAAAACTACAACGTATTCTGACCACGAACTAAGTTGGTGAAATGTCAAATTGGTCTTTGAGTCCAGCTCATACGTTTACAAGGTAGGACAGGGTGTTAAAGTTTATACTTTGGGGCTTGTTGTTTGGTCTTGTCTCCCATGCAGTAGAGAGTCGTCAGACCCTGCTGTCTTCACACGGAGTCCAGCCTGGGGCAATTTAAATCTCCTCCACATACCTACACACACACTCACACACAAACATAGACACACACACACACTTTCCTTTTTCTTTTGCCTTCTGTGCCTGTCACTCTCCCTGTGTGTTTTTGACTTCTTTTCTTCTCTCACCTTCTTTCTTAGCGTGTTCACTGCTCAGTTAGTGAATCCCTCAAGTCTACGCCGGACCACTTCCTTTGACACACACACAGCACAGCCTGTCTGTCAGCGTCTGCACTGACAGGATGAGGCCAAGCTTACCCAGAGTTTCCACGGCTGTCGGACCGTTCGGCTTAAATACAGTACTTTTTGCATTTACTTACTTTGAATGAACGTGTTGTCGTCTGGAGAGGGGGTGAGGAGGGGTGTGTGGGGGGGGGTGCTCAAGATTGTCAATTGTCAAGTCATTCTAACAGGGTTTTACAAAAAAGGAAATAAACGTCTGGAAAAAACAAACAATAAATGAATGCAGTAAGAAACACTGTTAGCCAGGGTTAATTTACAAGATTTCTATCAATTAATAAAATCCCAAATTGATATATAAAGAATCAGGGTCTCATCACCAAAGTGATGCCTTCCACTGTACCACAGCACCTTCACAGCAAAGAGAAAAAGGATGTGAGGCTGGACAAACTGTCTCTTTGACTTTGGTGTTTTCTTCAAGGACAGTGTCCCCGTCCTTATCTCTGTGTCTCTGTAGGCTTGACTGGTGCAATGGAACAAAAACATTGACACCTTGTTTCAACAAATGAGAAATGACAAATACATAAATCATTTAGGCTCTGCCGAGTAGGGAGATATCACTCTGACACAGCCTCATGCTGTTTGATGCTCCACTGATAGAAAAAAAAAAAAAAAGGCTTCCAGGGAAGTCCACGGACGGCTCATAAAACCGATGACGTACTGAAGCGACGCGGCCGGTGGTGTCATTCAAACTTTGGAAAAAAAAATAAAACTTCATCATAACAAGGTAAAACGTCACGACAGATTTGACCTGCAGTTTACAGATTGTGTTCATCTGTCATCATCGGAGGACGGTATTGATTTCACTATGTTCAAAAAAATATATAAAAAAAATATTCTAAATAAATGCAAAGGGCAGGGAGAAGCAGAAACGTATTTATATTGATGTTATATTTACCATCTCATTGTTACTACATTGCCACAGTTATTGTGCCTATCCTCAGTGGTGCCAGACTGGTTCGAAGGTCAGCGGTTTGAATTCCTCCGTGAACTGAGACAATATGTGAGATTTCCAGGAAGAGTTTGTTATTGAGTGAAGATTCTATGAAGGAGCTGCAGCTTGGATATTAAAAACACCAAAGTGGTCCAGTTACTGCTGATTGTTGTTCCAAGGGTTCTCAAAGTAGGGGGCGGCCCCCGTAGAGAGCCTGAAGGTTATACAGAGAGGAAACAACAAGGCACAACTGATTAGTATTTTTTTAATCTCTTTGTTTAATCAGCACTATTGTTTTTTTTTTAATCAAATGCAGTGTTTTGATATGTCCACATGTCATGTTTGCTTGGCTTGGATGAGAAAAAAGCAGCTTCACATGTTTTTTCTCAACCTACAGCCAACAAAATATATTAGGACTATTTTATAAACCTCCTAATTGGGCAACAATCACATGCAATTGCTGCAGATTTACCCACTTGCAATCTTTTAGGAGTTACTGTATTCAACAACAAGACAAACATTCCACAGATGCTGTAATTCATCTTCAGATTCATCTAATTATCCATTTGGCCGAACACATAATGAGTCATCTCTGTGCCAAAAAGTGTTGGTTAGAATTCCTCACACGCAAATTAAATCATCCCCAAACAGTTCGGGGCCATTAGAGCATCTTAAGAAATGATTCACTTAACTAGGAGGTGGGGAGGGAATAGTTGAGATGAGGAGACTGGGGGGCTGTTCAGGAAATGCAGCATTCAGGCAATTAAATCTTGGCAAGAGAAACTGCATTGCACTGTCATGACCGCTTGTTGGAAATCAGGGTAACGAGACACATGTAGCGTGGAACACGGGAGGGAGAAGACGTTCCATGTGTTGTTGGTGGATGAGGGAAGGAAGGGGGAGGGAGGGGGGTCGGAAAACAGAACAGCTGTAAAGTCAGCAGCTCTGTGTGTCTGTCTGTTTGTTGTTTCATGAAAAACTAAAGAGCAACAGTGTGGCAGTGGAATAATACATTAGTGCAGCAGCTGTCCCTCATCTATGACCACTGATGGACTGATGGACTGATGGACTGATGGACTGATGGACTGATGGACTGCATATGTTCAACGCTGAAATCATTCATATTGACAGAAGGACACTTTAAAGCATTTAAATTAATTATTAATACAAAATAAACACAAACGTAAAATTAGAAATACTTTAAAACACCATCGACCGTTGACTACGGGGACATTTAAGACAAGAGTCTTCATGTCAGCAGTCACTTGTCCTGACATCAGCTCTACTCCACCACTATGACAACAACCACTGACACCACTCTCTAATCCCACGCCCTAAAACAAGCACACACACACACACACACACAGCCCTGCTGCTGGTCTGTCGTAGAGGACCCTTAATCAGCCTCTGCTCTCGTCTGTTAAAACTCTGTGATGATCTACTGAACATCAGATCATCTCTGTCAAGTTCAGCAGCTACACGTGTTATTCTGAAGGGCACATCAGGTTTCGCAGGACGCGATGTATTTTTAAGGACGAGACCAAACAAAACTTGAAACAAGGAAGCCCTGTCCACGAGCGCTGCCGTCATGTCTTATTCACTGCATGTGAGGATTCCTGTTTTGACACCTGGCTTCAAAGAATCCACATTCTATTTCATGTTGGCATTGGAGAAAAGTCAAAAGGATGCCAGATGCTAAATCCACGTCAATGGTCAAAGTTAGTCCCCCAGATGACTGAGGGGTCAACACACACACACACACACACACACACAGGCAGAGCTGCACTGCTGTATCTTTTGTCCTGAAATCCTGTTCCAGGAATTAGCGTTGTCTTTTCTATCCGGCGTGTCCGGCTCTCCTTCAGCCGCTCTTTCATGTTTTATTTAACGTGGGAGGATTTTAAGAATAAAAGATTTTCATCAAAGTGACATCATGTCTCTGACTGTACCTGGGAAGTTGTGCTTGAATCTGGAATTATCCAGATTGAAAAGCCAGAGCGAAGCCAATCTCTGTGCGGTTTTTGATGAGAGTTTAATCATAGTGTAGACGTAAGGGATCAGACGATCAGCAGGAGAAACCAAACAGCTGCTGCTGCTCTCCATATTAAATTGGTGCGACCAGGTAGCAGTGAGTTTGAGGTTGTATGTTAAATATAAACGCTGTGTTATTCTGGTATTAAAATCTAATTCTAATATTTACAGCTTTTTTTTTTATTATTCTGCAGAGACAAGAGAGACTCATTCAGAAGAACATCTGTCCTTAACTCACTGCCGCCTGCCTGGTCCACATACGGTAGGACACGTCCCACTGATACTGGGAAGAAATCCCTATTCTGTACTGCAAGTTTGGCCCAATGATAGTGCCATGCCCCACCCTTTCGGAACCACTACTGTATGTGATTATGTATTCCAGAGCAAGAACTTTCATATTTACCAATATTTTACAAAAATGCCAAGTTATGATATACTGTGTGTGCAATCTGCCCTCCTGCCCCTGCCCCCCGACTTGCCGTGCTGCATTAGAGAGTAAGAACTTGCATATTTGAAATTAACGATGCAGTACACCCCTGATCTGGTCTAGTCTGAATTTAGGAAGAAATCCCTATTCTGTACTGCAAGTTTGGCCCAATGATAGATGACTTGCCGTGCTGAATTAGAGAATAAGAACTTGCATATTTGAAATTAACGAAGCAGCATCTTACAAAACATGTAAGTACAGTACGCTTTGTATATATGAAAAACAGGGTTTTGATCATACAATATTTTGTTTCATTTGGGGCAGAAACACAAATGCTGGCGGTGCTCTCTCAAGTGCTGAAATGAAGGAGCGGTGTAAACAAAGAAGACCTACAGTCAGAGTGCAGACAGTGGCTCTGCTACTAAAACAACAGCGCAAAAAGGAAATATAACAGTACCCGCAGCATACTCAATAAAGACGAACAGCTAAACATAAACAAACAGTTGATGGAGGATGTGCCCTTTTTCCCAGGAGGGAAAACATAAAGGTGTCTTGAAGTGTTCGTGTTTATTTCTAAGCTGCAGTGAAGCAACAGGGAGCCTGAGCAGTCGGAGACACAGCCTGGGTATCACTCAGTGCTAGGCCTGTAGCTGACCCCCCCCACCCCTCCACCCCACACCACCCCTTCATTTTCAATACATAATGTGCACTTTGTTGTACGGTGGAGCTCCAACCCAGCCCATGCAGGAGTTGTCCACTCATTCAATTAATTGATTTTGCTGTCATCAGCCACTCTCTTGTGCTCCCTCTCTCCCTCTATCCTCTGTAGTCTCTCTCTCCCTCCTTGACGTCTCTGCAGGCTCTTGATGGCAGCTAAATGGTCATAGTCGGGGCCCAACAGGTATTTAGGGCTTTTAGCTGCTCAGGGTAATGTGCATCAAGCACAAGAAGCTAAAAATGTAACTACTCAGACCTTCCTGATTTGTTTAGTGAGGCCCGAGGAGGCCGTGCACTGTATCTGAAGAAATCAATCAGCAGGAGTTCAGACGGGAGTGCAGCAAAGTGTCACCAAGAAGCTGAGATGATTACGGAGCGAGCGGCGTTTTAATCCGCAGCCACGCGCTGTTCCCCGTGAGACGCGTTCTAATAAGTAACAGTTAATTGTGAGGGTTACTGTACGGGCATGTTACAACCAGGAGAGGCAGAGGTATTGATTAGTCTCATCAGCACCTGGTGATGGAGCCCTGTGTTTGATGTGTTTTTTTTTTTTCTTCTGGGCTACAGTCAGGCAGGTAGCTGCTTTGTTCTCAGGTTTCTGCAGGAGACGCTCATCTTTCTTGCTGAGGAAACCAGGGCAACCACCTTCTGACAACTCCCTCAACTCCTCTGACTTATAGAGTCAGACAGCCAACACACGCACACACACTAAAGAAGCCGCCAACACACACTGTAGGTGGTGATAGACAAGCCAGACTTGGAACAAGTACACACACACACACACATTCTGTATAAGGTGAGACTGCAAACATATACACAGAGCTACTGTAAGAACTATAGTACCTCCATAATAGTACTAGCATTTAATAGGAAAACATATATATACACATACAGACATATTTATATATGTATTTATAGAAATAAATATACAAACATTATAGAGTACATATATACATACTGTATATACACACATACATATGAGTGTATATGTATATATATCTATTTATAATTATAAATATTTATATCCACATTAACTTATTTGTATGGTTATGAATTGTACCTCTAACATGCATGAAAAGTATGCAATTTTGAAAACAGATTTATCCATATATTTTAAATGTTTCTCGTCGGCTTTTTTAAAAACTAAAAATTACTTGACTCGTTCTAAGCTGCTTGTACCAGATGAGGTTTTATTTCTGTGAAATACGAGGTTGACACGGCTTAAAAACGCTTCCCCGTCCAACATGACAGACATTTTCATCTGGTAGGAGTGATCTCCAACTGAAGTCAAGGCCACGGAGGTGTGTATTTTTCAGAGTTCCCTCCTAAGTATGCTGCCACAAGAAGAGCTGATCGCAATGGACGTCTCCTCTCAGCACAGCTAGAAAATCTCCTCATCACAATGTCAAACAGCGGGGACTGCACTTGAACGCTCACTTTACAGCACAGCAATGACCTGCAGCATCGTGTTAAGGTCTCAGACATGCCAGTTTCTTCTTCTTTTTTTTCTTTTTTTTTTTTTTTCTTGAGTCTGGACATCTTTGTTTTTTTTGTACAGCTGTTTTTGTAAGGTACTCAGACATACTGTCCTTCCTTTAACTAATCTGCTTCTTTGGTCTCAACCTAAAAACTTTATAACATTGTCATTGTCATTATAGCACTGCTGCTAATTTTTCACAACATGATCCAAATGCCTGCATCCACTTATTCCTTTAGACCAAATGACTCAAACTCCTGGTTCGAGGACTACTGGTTCGAGGACTGCCATCCACACCTGGTCCACAAGTACATGTCCCTGGTTCGAGGACTACTTCCAGCCCACAAACTATCCACACCTGGTCCACAAGTACATGTCACAAGTTTTCATTTTACTCTTTGGGAAAAACCAAAAACATTCCAAATGTTTTATCTGTTTGTTCAAACATCTTCCAGACAACCTGTGATAAATGAGCTGTCCTTGTTGTAAGGCAACAGCACTCACCGCTCTCCCACTGTGCCCCCCCCCGATATCTTTCAGCTCTGTGTAAAGTCCATAAAGT